GGAATATGACCACGTGAGATGGGTTTATAGGTTTGCTCAACCGTTCCTCTTATACCAGCTGTGTTCTGTGTCCTTTGTTTTATGTAATCAGGTGGTGTTGTTTTTATTTTGATCAAAATATGACTATCTTATTTATACCTTGATTGGTTTTCTATGAAGACTTCAATTTGTGCAAATTTTGTACGTGAAATTTTCAATTTTTGCTTCCACAATTAAAGTGTTTTTAGCAATTTTAACCACGAATTGCATTGAATTTTAATATTTTCAAAATCAAAATAATTTAAAAGTTAATAAAATTTTTAAATTAATTCAATTTACTATTATATTATAACCAAACTAATTCAACATAAATTGAATTGATATGGTTCAGTCAGATTGAGCAATTTTTAATATTGTTTTAAATATATTTCATTAGGTAAAAGATCAAAACATCAAATTATAAAAAACACAATTGTAAAATATAATAATATCATAGACAACAAAATGATAGTATAAACTACTAGATAAAAGTAAGAATTAAGAAGATGGCAAAAAAAAAATAATAATAATAACAAACTAATAGGACAACTAAGGTATGTTATTTTACGCTATTACTGCTCAAGAAAGTAAAAAGCTTTAAGAGTGAAACTCTTGTTTGCATAAGGAACAATTTAGGGTTATATTATTTTTTAATTAATTTAATTCAATTATATTGCACAATTATAATATAAAAATAAAATAAATGATGATAGCCAATGCGATTAACATCATATTACAACTATAAAAAAATATTATAAAAAAAGAAAATATAAAATACAATTTGTATATAAAAGTAAAATTTCTAAAAATTCATTATATTTTTAATTTACCAAAAAATATACAAGTAAAAATATTATATTATTTAATTAAATTATTTTGTAATCAATAAATTTAAAAATAAAGTCATAAACTAGTTACCAAACTATTTATATCAATTTTAAAATTTTATAATTCAAATAAAAAAAAATTAATATGGTTTTGGACTAAATTCTAATTAAATTGGATCGATTTTAATCAAATCAATTAGTTTAGATTAGATATAAACAGCCCTACCCATGACAGACCATTTCAAAACCATTAGCAACCGTTATCTAAATCATTAATTACATCAAAACACGATAGAGATCAAGAACCTTGCCCATGTTACAACTATTTCCCCTTCCCAACAGAAAACTAAAAGCTTCATATATAGATTTGAAAGAAACAGAACAACTATTTTTGTTTTAAATCGAATACATGACAGGCATCAATATGAGATACACAAGTTTATTCAGTAATATTTTCTATTTAATATAGATATATAAATCTAACAATAACATGGACTGCAATGCGTTTGCGTCAAAAGTATTCCGACCATCCTACCATCACTTTTTTCTTACAACGATGCAGTATTTTCGTTCGTTTTCTGTTTAGTAATTTTTTTCAGTACAATAGTTTTTAGAATACAACAAAAAATTGTAAATTCTAAGAAAAGAACTCAAAACTTAGAATTCTAGAAATCCCACAAATATCTATATTAGGATTACCAAATCATAATTGTAATATCATTTAGTTCAAAGTTATTTACAACTTAATTATACCTAAATAGAACGCAATGCATTCTCCTGTTGTGGTCTATTAGTGGTTATTGCAGTTTAACAAAGTTATCGGTGGATTGCATCCTTAATCAGTGATTGAATTTTGTCAAGAGTAAAATATTAACCTAATTTTTAATTTTTAATCATTTTTCTATTAAAAAATAAAAAATAGAACGCCACGAAAACAATTGATAAATAACTCACATCATGAGGTTAAGGGCCAATTACGCATGATGACTCTCATATAGTTTGAATTCCACGCGCCACCAATTTATCGCTCCAAAACAGAGGACGGTACGTAACTTTTTCTTGGCTTGAGAACTACGGACCTGCTCAGCCTCAATGCGGGGCGAGAGACACGTGGGATCTACATGATACAGAGGATATTCCTTTTTTCTCCCCA